TACAGTGCCTTGCGGAAGTATTCGGCCCCCTTGAACTTTGCGACCTTTTGCCACATTTCAGGCTTCAAACATAAAGATATAAAACTGTAATTTTTTGTGAAGAATCAACAACAAGTGGGACACAATCATGAAGTGGAACGAAATTTATTGGATATTTCAAACTTTTTTAACAAATAAAAAACTGAATAATTGGGCGTGCAAAATTATTCAGCCCCTTTACTTTCAGTGCAGCAAACTCTCTCCAGAAGTTCAGTGAGGATCTCTGAATGATCCAATGTTGACCTAAATGACTAATGATGATAAATAGAATCCACCTGTGTGTAATCAAGTCTCCGTATAAATGCACCTGCACTGTGATAGTCTCAGAGGTCCGTTTAAAGCGCAGAGAGCATCATGAAGAACAAGGAACACACCAGGCAGGTCTGAGATACTGTTGTGGAGAAGTTTAAAGCTGGATTTGGATACAAAAAGATTTTCCAAGCTTTAAACATCCCAAGGAGCACTGTGCAAGTGATAATATTGAAATGGAAGGAGTATCAGACCACTGCAAATCTACCAAGACCTGGCCGTCCCTCTAAACTTTCAGCTCATACAAGGAGAAGACTGATCAGAGATGCAGCCAAGAGGCCCATGATCACTCTGGATGAACTGCAGAGATCTACAGCTGAGGTGGGAGACTCTGTCCATAGGACAACAGTCAGTCGTATACTGCACAAATCTGGCCTTTATGGAAGAGTGGCAAGAAGAAAGCCATTTCTTAAAGATATCCATAAAAAGTGTCGTTTAAAGTTTGCCACAAGCCACCTGGGAGACACACCAAACATGTGGAAGAAGGTGCTCTGGTCAGATGAAACCAAAATCGAACTTTTTGGCAACAATGCAAAACGTTATGTTTGGCGTAAAAGCAACACAGCTCATCACCCTGAACACACCATCCCCACTGTCAAACATGGTGGTGGCAGCATCATGGTTTGGGGCTGCTTTTCTTCAGCAGGGACAGGGAAGATGGTTCAAATTGATGGGAAGATGGATGGAGCCAAATACAGGACCATTCTGGAAGGAAACCTGATGGAGTCTGCAAAAGACCTGAGACTGGGACGGAGATTTGTCTTCCAACAAGACAATGATCCAAAACATAAAGCAAAATCTACAATGGAATGGTTCACAAATAAACATATCCAGGTGTTAGAATGGCCAAGTCAAAGTCCAGACCTGAATCCAATCGAGAATCTGTGGAAAGAACTGAAAACTGCTGTTCACAAATGCTCTCCATCCAACCTCACTGAGCTCGAGCTGTTTTGCAAGGAGGCATGGGCAAAAATTTCAGTCTCTCGATGTGCAAAACTGATAGAGACATACCCCAAGCGATTTACAGCTGTAATCGCAGCAAAAGGTGGCGCTACAACGTATTAACTTAAGGGGGTTGAATAATTTTGCACGCCCAATTTTTCAGTTTTTTATTTGTTAAAAAAGTTTGACATATCCAATAAATTTCGTTCCACTTCATGATTGTGTCCCACTTGTTGTTGATTCTTCACAAAAAATTACAGTTTTATATCTTTATGTTTGAAGCCTGAAATGTGGCAAAAGGTCACAAAGTTCAAGGGGGCCGAATACTTTCGCAAGGCACTGTATAATGTCCCATCCACTTATATGGAGGAGCTGGAATTTATGACCTATTCTTTAACCAGCCACCAGAGAGTGATCTACTCATGGTGGCTTCACTTCTGGAAGCCGTCACAATGTCCATCTCTTATACAGTCAGTAATTGTGACCATGTTTATTGAGCAGGACATTTTACATTGTAAACTCAACTTGTGTTTTCTGGTGGACAAACTACGTAACTATGGTGACACTGTATAAATCCACTTCAGCTTTAGAAGCAGTGCTTACTCAAAAACCAATCAGATCATCCTGTTCTTCATCAGCACGGTGGTGGAACTCACCTCGTCTCCTGCCAAGAGAACAGTTATTTATTCTACCTATCACTTTTAGTTGAGTGCTAATGGCGTTTTAAACACTGCCACAGCATGAGACTGAAATATTACTGATTATAACCACATTTGATTTAGCAAATGTTATGATCTCTTCTGCAGGTACAGCTTCTGCATGCCACCCAAGCTGGATCTGCACGTCCATCCCAAACTTGGGGAGAGGGAGGTTACTTTCTGCCATGTGACTGAGTGGATTGAGAAGAAACTGCAGGACGAGTTCCATGTAAATAAACAAAGAAACAAACTGCACTTATGTACAGTATGTTTTGACCCTGTTCTCAGCAACACATCTCACAATCATTTTTTATCCTCTCCAGAAAGTGCTTGTACTGCCAAACATGGATGACATCTACTTACCGCTGATGCGCTCTGGGGTGGACATCCACCCTGACGCCCCCCAGCCCCAACACTCCCAAAACTCCTCCAGAGAAGAGATCCCACCTGAGACCTCTAGGGCAGAATCTCACTAGTGTCTCGCTGTTGGCGATCAGAGGAGACCTGAGCCTGCAAAATGGGTTCGTTAATATAGGTCTTAGGCAGACCCTTGTGTTTTTAAAAGGGGTTTATAAAAGTCTGATGCTTTGCACTGCAGGTGTTTGGGCGGTTAATAGAGAATCTGGATTTGTTTGTGCCCTCTCAGTACAGTCACTCATTGAATTGGTAGAGTGTACATTACATAATGACAAACAAGTACAAGTGATACTTTTTGCAGCGGTTTACATGTGAATTAACCCTATATTTATATAGTTATATATTTGCTGATTTAAATTTTACAACTCATTGTCACTTTATTAAGACATATTATTGAATAAAAGCTGAAAAATGCTTGTAAGATTTTTTTCTCAATTAATGCACTTTCACAAACGTCCCCAATGTATGTTGCTCTACTTTATTTTGGTGCAGCTCCAATGTCCATCCTCATACAAACATACATCTGGACTAACACAGGCTTCTTCGTTAATTAATATATTAACTGATATTGCAACTTTTCAATATACTTAAACTGATTTTTAAACCAAACATCAAAGGATGTTTGCGGCAAATAACTGCAAGCCATCATTAATGAGGCATTACAATGATCATTGGGACAATGAGATATTTATTCTGTTAATCTGTTAAAAAGATTCAGGCATTCATTTGATTTACCATATACTTTGCAAGGCATGTGGTTCTTTGTGCTCAAAAAGGCTCAAATTTGTGCTATGCTTCGATGCTTTAGAAAACACGACTTATTTACCTCAGCATTTCTCCAGGGACGAATGTCTCAGTTTAAACTGTAAGAGTGTGGAATACATTTAGGAAGTTTGCCAGCTGGCCTAGAAACTGAAAGGTCCTAAAAGAGAAGGTTTGACTTCCCAAGACTGGTTTCAGCACAGGATAAGACCCAGCAGCAAAATGCAGTAATAGATGATAATGGTTACAATACTCATCAATTACAAAATAAACAAGCAAATCACAGAAAAGGATGGAAAGCAAAGATTCAGATGAACTGCTCATCAACTACATCATGTGTGTGACAAACAGCCTGCTCAAAATGTGAAACTGAGTCCTGACACATAAAATGAAGTCACATGAGAAAGAAGTGTGAGAGTGTGTGGGAGGATGTGTGTGTGTGTGTGTGTGTGTGTGTGTGTGTGATTCTGTGGATGTGTGTTCATGGTGATACTGTGGAGTTATCAGCAGTATGATCATTAAACAGGCTCTAGGTCTATTTTGAAAATTGTTATGTGACAAATTGATTGCAGCTAATTATTCCACAGTGGAAATGATCTAAGAACAAATTTGAACAGAACCATATTTACATGTTTTTGAAACACTGGTATAACGTGATCTTTCATTTGTTAAAAAAACACCACCAAGTTGTACCATAAAATTATTATAAAATATTATGTCTGATTGAACCCAGGCCTAATTTTGAAGTAGATAAACAACTCTGAGAATAAAAGTGATAGTAAATATATTGGTGTGGGTACATAGACAAAAGATTTCCTTTTCTATTAGTAAGTGCAGCTTTGAGTTCTACATGTCATCATTGTCTGGAGGTGGAAACTAAGTTTATCTCTGTTTTATGTTCCACTATCCCCATGGATGGATTATGAATACTGCACATACTATAAGTGCAAGACCCACAAACTGAAACAGACTGTGATTGGTCTCTGTCCAGTCATAATACTTTTGTGTCTCTTTACATTCCTTTTGCATCTATTTTTACTTGTTCTATGTGTCTTTTTATCGCCACTTTGCATCTCTTTTCATTATGAGCCTGCTTTCATTTGTTTAGCACCTCTTTACCTCCCTGTGACCCTGTACAGAACTCGGTGGATGAATGAGTTTTCAACCCATTATTCCTCTTTGGCCTCTGACAGAAGCCAAACAGTGGACTTTGAGTTAGCATAATGCTGCTTGAATGAAGGAGAGGTCTATGAAATTGCAAGTGCCCCTTGAAGTTGTAGAGCTGCATGTAAAAATACCAATCATACACCATGTAGAATCTCACAGTGAACATTAGAGGGCAGCACATCTTCCTTAACTCTGCTCTCAAACCAGCAATGTTCTCTGGAGAGGATCTGGACTTCATTGTCCTCAAAAGAATGTCCTTTGTCCTTCTGGTGGAGGTGGACTGCTGACTCTGGTCCACTGAAGTTGGCCCTCCTGTGTTGGGCCATGCGTTTGTGCAGCGGCTGCTTAGTTTCACCAATGTACAAGTCGTTACACTCCTGACTACACTTAATTGCATACACCACATCACTCTGTTTGTGTCTGGGTGTTTTGTCTTTCAGGTGGACCAGTCTCTGCCGCAGGGTGTTCCCTTGTTTAAAGTTAACTGGGATATTGTGGTTGTGAAAGATCCTTTTTAACTTCTTTGATAAACCAGCCACATAAGGGATGACAGTGTTATCCCCTCT